ACAATGATGAGTTGTTCGCCAGGTTTATGACCAAATACCCCACAGACATCTAGCATACAATCAATACAGGCGGTATTGGCCGAGTCTTCATCGTGATGCTGATTTGGACTGACGTAGTCTTCTCAGCGTTTGTATACGAGGCCTAGAGTACGGTGTGTTTAAACAGTGGTAAATGGTCAATTTTAGTTAGCACAGATTGGGGACTATTTAAGGACCCGGGAGATTCCACATTATTGCATTTTGATTACATCTACCCTCACAGTTCTTGTCATGTTGAGATGTAGAAAGATAGGGAATAGAATCTCTTCTCTTTAACGGTCGACCAATTTGACTTTTGACGAAAGAACATCTTTAACACAGTAGTATAATGTACGTAATGACATTTCCTTCTGTTGCCGTGCGTCTAATGACCTCTGACAATGTGGAAATAAATCAATGCTTATTTGAAAAAAAAGTCAAGTCAGTTGAGTGAAATGTCATTAACTCAATCAGTAAGACTTGTTTTGTCCTACTTCCTACAAAAAAGTTGATGGTGGTTCCATGTATAGTGTCGTTTTGAAAAAGCTATTACTTTTTCAAAAACCATTCTTTGAAGTATTTCAATGACATAATCATGCGACAGTACAGATGCATAAGAAGTCATATTAGAGTTTTTCTTCTACCGTCCAAGTCTATTAAAACATTTTAGCTCAGGGATAACTGTGAATGCCATCAAGGAATCAAAGATTTTCCCCTTGACTTTGATCAAGTAAGGGCAGTGATAGCTGTTGGATCTACTACTAAGACCACTCTATTTGTCATAACTGATTTTGACTCTCCTAATATTTGACCCCCGTAATTATATTTCCATGAGCTTCTTACAAGATATCAAAACCTGAGGTATTCTCAATTGTGATGAACCTTTTTTCAGTTATGACATTTGTCTCCTTAAATGATATATCATACATGGAAAATGTGAATTTGAGAATGGGTAGAAATAGTTAAGTCAATATCAAATGTTCGGTCGCAGTTTTATCGTTTGACAGCCGAAGCAAACTGGGAAGTATTGAACACAATTATATCCAAATCAGTCGTTGGCGTTTGAGTGTTTTATTTACCATCAGATTCAGCTGCAAGGAGTTATTAAACCTCTACCTGAGTAACACACGCGAGCTTCAAGATGTTCCAAGGGGAAATCACACTGCCTGCTTTCCCTCAAAATCTATACCCGTCTCCTTCAAAGAATACTTCAAGTCACAAATAACTTCTAAATTGTATTTTGTCAGTAGAATCACATACCCTTCCTGGTGTTACGTACACGTGTATGCATCAGTTGCAGATAAAAATAAATCAATTTCGTGTTTGTATCGAACACAGTATTTACATGAAGCTTAAGGATTTAAATTACACACCCATAATGATTTAAAGTAAATGCGCATTCTTTTACGCCGCAATACTCACTCAGTATCACGGGGAACAGATTAATGCCGGCTTCGCACAATGTTTCCATGTGGGGATTCGAACCCGGTTCGTATACGGAAAGAGCGAACGATTTAAGCACAAGACACCCTGGCCGCCACGATTTAGAACAAGGTTAGATGAAATGGGGTTTAACGTGGCGTCCAAGATTATTGCACTTGTATAGCGACGTGCATGCACGAGCGTGCGTGCGTGCTTGCGTGCTTGCGAGCGCGTGTGGCTGCTTGTACTAGTCTGGACTGATGCCGACTCCGAGCCGACCAGACCTTGTTGAAGTCCCTCAGTGCCGAGGGAAACAACAAGTAGCATCTGTTAACGTCTTTTTGGTGTGACGCGGCCGGAGATCGAACCCCGACCCTCCGCTTTACCCCTAGACCACGGAGGCGATCGATTTAGAACAAAATATAGTTGTGCCTGCATACAAATATCTACAGTACGAGGGGATGATGAAAAGTTCTTAGCCTAACTACGATGGACTGCGATGATGTCGCTAATGGTTTGTTAACATAACATAATCAATTTTGAGGTTCATGTGCACACTTCTGCCAACGATACTTGAGTGTCCCCATGGTGAAGGCGTTACCCTGGTGGTGTACAAAGTCCTCCACAGCAAAACAGATTGATCCATAATTTGCATAATGCATAAGGCATCAACACGCCTTTTGTGAGTTGTCCATGACGTTTAGCCCCTCAAATCTCACGCAGTTGCCTAATCAGATTAGCAACATGTTGGCCTTTCGGGAGGTAGTCTACCAATAGGACCAACAGACTTTGGCTTCTTTGGAGGAGACGCTGGATTTGACTGCTTTGACTGTTGTTTGGACTCTGGTGATAGTGGTGAACTCAAGGGACCTCAGTGCTTTCAAACGGCTAGATCTGCTTCAAAATGACGTTATTCCAAATGATTTAGAACTTGGAGCGTTTCTGATCATGGATTTCAGAGTGCTGAAACCTTTGTCATGTACATTACTCAGAATGTTCTCATCTCTCTGATGTAAGATGCCCCTGAGAGGTATCGAAAGTCACTGTCATTCAAAGAATATTTACATTTACTGCGCCTTTAAACGTAGAATATCTGTCATTTTAATTGTGGCTAAAATTATGTACAATCGCCAGCGACTGAAGGGATGATGTAAATCCTGCTAGGGTCCATGCAGGTTGCAAAGGTACTGTAAGTCCCATAGGTCGCTAGTATGGTGATCTACCTTCAGTTGCTAATTGTGATAAGTCTAGTTATTTTACTGTGCCTCGTTGGCAGGTTTTTATGTTAGTCACCATGAATTTATATGTTTAACCCTTAATAGTCACGATATGGCTGAAATATTGCCGATGTGACTTTACATTGTAACTCACTCACTCACTCACTCACTCACTCACTCACTCATGTAAGATGCCTACGGTAAGATGCCTACTGTCTTGTTCCTGATCTTGTATCATCTATGTTCTCTCTTCCTGTATTGAACACTGTCCAAATATTACCAGTGGCAAAGGAAGGTGTATCATACCCTTCAGATGACACCCTGTGCGCATTGCTGGCTGCTGGAGTTTAAGTTTAAGCCCGTTAAGTTGGAAATACTTCATGACAGAGAGGCATCCACTTTTGTCCATTTACATCCATAGAGAATACCTAGTCACTTTGATACCTGATGAAAAATGCTGCATAGTTCTGTATTTGATTGAAATGCAGCCTGTGAGTATGGAAATGCAATTATACTTAATGCAATCATACTGTTAAAGGTTTGCAAAACACCCTTGATAGTTAGGTCCAGAACTTTTTCTGCATCTTTATTCTTACCCATGTATTTTGTTTTCAATCAGAAATCGTGTTGTGATTCAGAACGTATATTGTCAATAACAAACGTGTCTTATTTACTACTATACTTTAAATATACGGACGTCGCACACAAGATTAATGTGATTATATAGCGACTTTGACCGTACACGAGCTGCGTTCCACGTTTGTCATACATCCTGGAGAAAAGGGCTGTACAAGAGGGACTATTGAGTAATGTGGTTAATATGTGAAAGCCTGGTTTAGACTACATAGCGCTTTAGCTGAAGGGTAAGATCGGGAGGATTGCTTAGCTGTGATAAAACTTTAATAAAAGTGTGATACAGCTGTGCAATGGATAAACAAATTCTTTCGTTGTCTTTCTCTGCATCTCGGCATCGTGTTCTTGGCCAGTCGTCCCGGGATGCGTGATCATTGGTTCCGTCCCCGATCCGCCCTGATTATGGCCTGTAATTAGGTTTAAGCTTAGCTTTAAGATTTCGCCGTCCGTGTTAAACTTCTACGAACTCGGATTTCCTCCCAATTCAGCTGACATGCCGTTATATAACTGAAATTGTGTAGTTTCATGTCACAATAACCACTTCACACTGGAACAGCTGATATGGCGGCCGCATCACCGCGTAAGCTATTTCTAGAAAAGTGCTTCCTTTTCAATCCTCGTCCGTGGTCATTTTTGAAATTATGACATGTACAGGTATACGTTGCAAAATTCAGAGTTGCAGTTACTATAATATTTAAAGTATATGTGGCAATAAATTGGGCAGAAAACATGTCAGAAATGGACTAAGAATATTTATACAATTAGGCTACCCGACCGCCCTTCAGAACAATGATCTACTGAACGTTGGTCTCAACCCATGCCGCCTTACCTCAGTATCTTGAGTTTGTTTTGAATCTTGTCATCTTTTCAACGTATACTAGGTTAACTTACATTTAACCGCGCTAAATTTAGCAGTTGATAACGCGTGAACGGTTTCTAATTCGCAGTTAAATCTACAGGTTACCGACTTTTGTTTACATGTAGCTTTACATTAAAAAATGGAATACTACAAGGGACATTGTTGCGTTGTCGCATCGTCGCATTGTCGCCCTTCCAAAAACAAGCAAAGAGTGTCAAAATTAGCCAAAGCGACATTTTGGCCATTTGTCGCATTGTCGCATTGTCGCGCTTAGAGAAATCTTTTTTATTTTACCAAAGCGCGACAATGCGACAACGTGACATTTTTCAAGGTCTAAATATGTCGCGTTGTCGCATTGTCGCCCCATCAAGAATGTGTAAAAAGGCCTTCAAATGCGCGACAATGCGACACTGTCCCTTGTAGTATTCAATAAAAGACACAGTGCGTTCATCTTCTAATTATTCACTGAGACAACGTCCATATACATCAGCAATATGAACATGTACGAATGTATGTTTCATGTCTTTCATATCTTCGATCATTCTGTGAATTATACCAGCATTTGAAATGCAATAAATACCTTCGACCCGAGCACCGAGCGATGACGTCACCGTTTCACTAAGCACGGGATTTCTCTTGCTAATCCAAGTTGCTGGATTGGACGCCTATTTATATCCTCGTGCCATTCTAATGGGGATGGAAACGAAGCAGTTGTATCGAATGGATCCAGGGTATTCATCATAATGAAATGAAAATATGAAACACTGGATAATTGAAGATGTGTCTTTCAAGAATGATGACACATTTGCAACTGGCACGTTTGAACCTATGATTCATTTGCTAATTTCGTATCCAGTCGAATACTTTTTATTGCCGTTTTATCTTTATATATAAACGAAAATTTCTTTAAATACAAAATATTATTGAAACCGACTGTAACATTTCTACTACACTTTGTTCAAAGCCCTGTCGGAAAGTAAACCACAAAATGGGATAACAAAAGTAATACAGTGGCATGCTTTATTTTCCTGAGACGCCACATAAGAATATCTTAATACATCAAATATTGAACACACCACGTTCATGTTATTTACACTTCACTTTCAGCTATTTCGGCATAACTAACATCTATCCAAATTGAATTATATCGCGAAGCAGGAATGCGAGTACTCAGACTACAAATCAACCCTGAGAGGCTACTAATTCAAGGAAAGGTCAAGTGGTCATCATCTTCATGCCTAATCAACATATCTCGAATGAAATGATTATCTCTTTCATTTTTAGCAGTTTAACAAAATCTGGTTTCATTTGTCCTTGAGGCCTGAAACAAAACACACAGATGAACTCGTTTATCCAGAACCAGTTGTTTTGTTGGCATAAGCATGGAGTATTTTCTCCACACAGCAATAGCCATGTTTCCATACTTCCATACTGGCGACATATAAAGCACCAAAAAGTCCAATCCCGGTCTTTCAAGTCATTTAAAACAATAATATGGCCAGACTAAACACCAGAAAGTTACTGGTTCAGTTTTTCGATGCAATATCCACGTTGATAATGTACAAACAAACACTTTCTCAAAAATATTTTAGAAGGAACCGTTCACATATATTGAAACTACCCAGCTCTTCAAGAGTCTTTATCCTTATTAACATTGCTCAATGTGTTTGGATAATTGAACAAAACACAAAACTAGTTCAATTAGAATATTTCCCCTTCGTAGTTTTGCTCACAAGGCCGGTTCCTTCATGTTCCAGAACGGATATTCACGACAATGTGTAACATGAATTCCTTTAATAAGTGATAAAAATGCACGTATCTGACGTTATATGTATTGTACATCAGTTCTTCAGTTCTTCTTTCATCACCACGAATTTAACATGTTCAGTGATATAGATCATGACTCTATGTCTTTTGGGAGGCCGTCACTTAGCGGGTCTCCGGTCTGGCTGTGCCTTTCACTGACATCAAAGTGGTCTTGGCTCTCTAGACAAAGCGATCATACTTCGTGACGTGATCAGCTGTGAATGCCATGAAAGTCCCATTGGATTCCTAACACGAATGAAGAGTGTGCTTTATGATTAGTTCTGTATGTCTGTCTGGACAAAGAAGTAACTTTAAACAGTTCGGTGAACCCCGCAGACCAACAATATCAAGATGAGAGGTGCATGTTAGAAAATTTAATTTTGTGTTCAATTTGAGTAATCTTAATTCAATGTTGTATGAAATAAAATGATTTGATCCCTTGAAATGGCTTGAGCATTTCTGTCCCCAAGTGCCCGCTTTTCAAAGTAAATCACATTCGCGCTGGATATTCACATTGATGCAACGACACGACGACGTACAAGGTAGGTCCATTTCGAAACGCACAATTGAACAACAAAGTCATTAACAACTTTTTGTAAGGTACAAGACACTTGTATGATCGTAGAGATTTCCGTTGTGCCAGCAATCCCTGCCATCTTTGAGGGTAAGAAGGCCGCGAGCAGCTGTGACGTCACCCGTGGTGTACGCGATGTCACCGACGTTGTTGCCAAGTTTCCAGCGGCGTGCACCGGGACGGTACGTAATTTTATGCTTCCAGCACGGACAAGAATGCACAAGAGTCCTCAGATCCGCCTGCAAGATAAAACGAACGGAGTTATATTTCGTGTGGTTACCTACATATTTCGAGCACTGTTGAAGGCTTTTTTCCAATAAGTGTTCTTCGACTGGGGCATGTGTAGTGTGTCTGTATTCCGATAATATAATAAAACAATCATTCTTTTTACAACGGTACGAGCTGGGTGTACCTCGAGATTAACACAAACGCCTGAGGTATGGGTATGAGAGGAAAGGGGAAAGTGCGCGAACCATATATACAAGGATATGCCGTGCTCAAAGATAGTCAGGCGACTCATGGCCGTTTTTATAAGGATACAAAGCAACAGTTCTTCTCGCAACTGTACCTTCATATCCCGAATTGCATTTGTGCTCTATCAAAATATTATGATTCAATCTATAGTATTCTCTAAATACAATAGGGGCGAACGGGTAGCCTGGTGGTTAAAGCGTTCGCTCGTCACGCCGAAGACCCGGGTTCCATTTCCGACATGGGTACAATGTGTGAAGCCCATTTCTGGTGTCCCCCGCCGTGATGTTGCCGGAATATTGCCAAAAGCGGCGTAAAACCATACTCACTCACTAAATACAATGATTCAATCTATAGTATTCTCCAAGTACAATGATTCAATCTATAATATTCTCCAAATATAACGATTCAATCTATAGTGTTCCCCAAATATAATGATTCAATTCATAGTATTATCCATATATAATGATTCAATCTATTCTACATATATCATGATCCAGTCTACAGTATTCTCCATATATAATGAAGCAATTTAAAGTATTATCCATATATGGCGATTCATTACATATTATTCTCCATATCCATACCAGATGGCGCAATTTATTACTTGCCCGTGAAGAGATCACCCGTTTGATAAACATACAGCTGTATTACACATTGTGTAATACCAAGACGCGTGTTAATGTACTGCGGGAACAAGTTTCACGAACAGATATTGAAAACTCTCAACATCCCTGGGCTTATTCAACGACATTGCGTATAGTAGTGATAGATTACTGAAAGGAGATTATGCACACTCGATGACCCCAACAACCCTGTTGCTAGGCTGACGTCACATGGCATTGTTTTGCCGATGGATCTTGCAACAAAAATTTCACAAATTACGTCATCGGGTATTGTGACGTGATTGTAAACTTTGTGATGCAGGACCCCGTTCCACAAAGCGATCGTAGCGCCACGACACTTGTACGTCTAGGTATATGGGACTTATTGATAACCTTAGCGTTACGATAACTTTCTGGAAAGGAACCAGAATTCTTAAGGTGGGCCTTTGCATGGTATTAAATTAAGACGTGTCAACTTTTGACGTGTTTGAAGGATTGTTTTGTTAAAATCAATTGGATTATGTTGTGGGTCGCGTAGATGTCTGCCTATATTCACACATTGAAATTCTAAAAAAAAGTTATAAACGGCAAGTAATAAATAAAATATCAAACTCGCCCCCGTGTAATATCAATTTAATGCTCGTCAGATACCAGAACTATTCACTCGTTTTATAAAATTGGTATTACACGGGAGCTCGTTTAGTATTCAATATTTACAGTATTCTCAAAGTACAATTTTTCAATATACAATATTCTCCAGATATAATGATTCAATTTACTGTATTCTCCGTATAGTTGTCACCAAATATAATTTTTCAATTTATAGCATTCTCCTGATAGGGTGATTAAATCTATATTATTCTCAATATATAAAGATTTTTTTTAATAATCTCCAGATATTATGTTGAAATCTATAGTATGCTCCACATATAAGGAAATTCTTGGGACAAAGCAATAATAACTTGATATCACCCTTCAGTCGAATATTTCATGTTTGTCAACGGTAATAAGCTCGACGAGGACCCGTTTGAAGAACTTCGGCTCGTGATGTTATGATATGTTGTTTTGTTCTCCTCCGCAGAACGCAATGGATGGTTACAGCGCAGAGCAATCAACGAAGAACGGTGTACGTGTTTGTGTAATTCATTGCTGATGCAAAAGCAGCGCCACTTATTCTTTTCGTTCCTGAAATATTAACCTTCAGGCTGGTTTCAGCTGTAGGTATAGTGCATAAACTCATACATGACGGCTGAAGATGAACGCTGATGCTGTTATACCGTCTGCACGTAAAGCATAAGCGGTGCCCCGCTAAATCTAGACAGTTCATTGTGTGTAATTGCATGGGCTGGCGAGCAAATTAGCTACGTGACACGTCTTGAAAAATCAACGATTTCTCTCGGACATCGTAATCCCTTTAGGGACCAATGACTGGTTGTCCTAGGCCGTGGGTGAAATGAAAACCCGTCTAGCAATCAAACGAATTCGATGATTGTTTTCCCAATGAGTAAACTTGTGGTCGGAAGTGCACTGTTTGAGTAAAACAACTCATGTTCGATTTTTGCTCGACTTAAAAGTATATGTTTAATTGGATTGGTTCACGATCAAACTTTAACTGAGTTAGAGACGCCGCTCAGGAGAATATGTCGGTTTAAGGTCTCCCTGGTGAGCAGTTATTCCACTATGGACGAGTTTTGACAGCGGGTGGGATAGAGGATTACAACAAGGCAACGTTACGCACACTGTAATCACATCAAAAGTTTCTCACATTTTAAATTTAGCGCAGTCGACTCCAGTACATAACAGGTTCCTCATAGAGCCAGTACAAAACTTTAATCTCTTGGCTAGCCCAAGAGGCTGAACATACAGACAGCGAATGGATGAAATCATGCTTTTGTTGGCACCAATACCTATCACTATTCAACATGGGACAAGACTGTGGGATGGAACAACCAATCGTTCTGTCTGGACGCTCGTGTATTCTCCATGTTGTGGGTGAGTGAGTTGATTTTAACGCCGCTTGGAACAAATTTCAATCATATCACGGTGCGTCATTTTGATATGAGTGATAGTGTCAGAGACAGTAAAAGGTACTGAGGTAATATATTATAATAACAATGATAAAACCCTTTACCTCAGTACCTTTTGCCGTTTTATCATTGTTATTATAATATATAATGATAAAACGGTAAAAGGTACTGAGGTAAAGGGTTTTATCATTGTTATTATAATAAATATATATACCTCAGTACCTTTTGCCGTCTCTGACACTATCACTCATATCAAAATGATATCATTGTTATTATAATATATATATATATATATATATATATATATTATATTATAATAACAATGATAAACACTATATATATATATATATATATATATATATATATATATATATATATATATATATATATATATATATATATATATATATATATTATAATAACAATGATAAAACACTATACCTCAGTACCTTTTGCCGTCTCTGTCACTCGGATTCATACCCAATTGTATTCACATTGGTCTGTCAACACCATTACCGTATATATATACGTTGACAGACCAATGGTATGAATCCGAGTTTTCTGAAAAGGGACGCAATTCTGCACTGCACTTACGCAGTGACATATAATACGATTTGCTTCAAGTCGCTCCAGCTACGGGTTATTTCTGGAGAAAAGCCCCAAGGTTACTATATGCGGGTCTTACATGTCAACCACTATGGTGTAACCAATGGGCAGGGGTCCGTGCGTATGCTGCTGAGAACGATATTACTTAAATCTAGGATTTGACCACACGAGATGGCAACCAAGACGGACGCCTTACAATACTGACCCAACTGTAACGAGCAGTGTATTTGAAGAGATACACGTCAATGTGTATGATCTGTTTATGGACATACATGTATTTGTTAATATAACACAGAACTTTCGAAAATTCTCTTCTATCGCATTTTAAGGATGAACAAAGGAGTTAACATGTTTTGTCAATACTAACATCTTCACGCATGTTTGTGTTTTTTTAACAATGTACATGCACTTACCCTAAAACTGTCGTTCATGAAGCCGTAGATGACTGGGTTGACAAAGCTGTTCGCCATGGCCAGCCAGTGGCAGGCGTAGTAGAGGGCGTTTTTGTCCGCCTCCCGCATCAGTTCCGGTATGAAGGACTCCAGCAGGAAGAACGTGTGTAGAGGCAGCCAGCACAGTCCGAACAACACGACGATGATCACCAACATTTTTACGATCTGAAGAAGATTGTGAGTGTGTGAGTTGGGTTTATCGCCGCTTTTAACAATATTCAAGGTATATCAATGCATCTGAGCTTCATATGGGAGGAGAGACCGAAGTGATGAAGGTCCAGACGTTTACCGCGAGTACGGGTATTGTTCTGAAAAACCTAGACACTTAATAAGGGGCTAACCGGGATTCGAACCCATTGGTTGTACGTGCGTTTCATTTTCCCCGAGGTCATCTGTGTTGTACGTGCGTTTCATGTGCCCTGTAACAATGGGTGTTGTACGTGCGTTTCATGTGCCCTATAACTATGTGTGTTGTATGTGTGTTTCACGTGCCCTGAAAAAATGTGTGCTGTACGTGCGTTTTCGTGTGCTCTGAAACAATGTGTGTTGTCCGTGTGTCTCATGTGCCCTATAGCAATTGGGATTGTACATACGTTTCATCAACAAGGATCTAGCTGTGTTTTAAGATAGAGAACGTTATGACAGTACATCATCGGGTGCCCGTGAAGATCGGGGTTAGAATAGATATTCAGGAACCAATGCTTGCCGTAAAAGGCGACAATGCTTTTCGTAAGAAGCGACTAACGGGATCGGATGGTCTGGCTCGCTGACTTGGTTAATGCATGTCACTGTATCTCAGTTGCGTGGATCGACGCTCATGATGTCAATCACGGGATTGTCTGGTCCAGAATCGATTATTTACAGACCGCCGTCATGTAGCTGGAATATTGCTGAATGCGACGTTATACAACAAACAAACAAACAATTATCATCGGGACACACGTACTTTCGCTCTTGCAAAGCTCAATGTCGCCTCTCAATGTTTCCCTTGGTCAGTACCATTATGACCGCGAGGTGTACCGCCATGCACTGTCTATCAATGTTACAGAGACATCTCAGACACGCAGTACCATTATGACCGCGAGGTGTACCGCCATGCACTGTCTATCAATTTTACAGAGACATCTCAGACACGCAGTACCATTATGACCGCGAGGTGTACCGCCATGCACTGTCTATCAATTTTACAGAGACATCTCAGACACGCAGTACCATTATGACCGCGAGGTGTACCGCCATGCACTGTGTATCAATTTTACAGAGACATCTCAGACACGCAGTACCATTATGACCGCGAGGTGTACCGCCATGCACTGTCTATCAATTTTACAGAGACATCTCAGACACGCAGTACCATTATGACCGCGAGGTATACCGCCATGCACTGTCTATCCATGTTACAGAGACATCTCAGACACGCAGTACCATTATGACCGCGAGGTGTACCGCCATGCACTGTCTATCAATTTTACAGAGACATCTCAGACACGCAGTACCATTATGACCGCGAGGTGTACCGCCATGCACTGTGTATCAATTTTACAGAGACATCTCAGACACGCAGTACCATTATGACCGCGAGGTGTACCGCCATGCACTGTCTATCAATTTTACAGAGACATCTCAGACACGCAGTACCATTATGACCGCGAGGTATACCGCCATGCACTGTCTATCCATGTTACAGAGACATCTCAGACATGCAGTACCATTATGACCGCGAGGTGTACCGCCATGCACTGTCTATCAATTTTACAGAGACATCTCAGACACGCAGTACCATTATGACCGCGAGGTGTACCGCCATGCACTGTCTATCAATGTTACAGAGACATCTCAGACACGCAGTAACATATTCCATCTTATTTCGCTGAAACTCCTGGACCTTGACATAATCACTGGCCTGACCTCTTTCTCGATCGCTGAGTAATCAATTTTTTGGACATCACTTCCACTCACGCCACAATGTAATCTAACTTGCACAGTTCGGTCATATTAATCATTTCTGGTATAAACAAATAACTTGTATAACAGCACCTGCGCACCTGTCGTTTGTTGTTATGTTACTTAACAATTAAAGTGAGTGAGTGAGTGAGGTTTTACGCCGCTTTTCGCAATATTCCAGCAATATCACGGCGGGGGACACCAGAAATGGGCTTCACACATTGTACCCATGTCGGGAATCGAACCCGGGTCTTCGGCGTGACGAGCTAACGCTTTAACCACTAGGCTACCCGACCGCCCCACTTAACAATTAAAATTAATTGAAATTCTCACATTGTAGGTAATCTGCATATTTATGAAGGAAAATGTGTCCAAATATAATAACCTTACATTTTCTGCCTACGTCTTCTTTGTCTAGCCTAGTTCAGTTCACTGCTAATGTATTCAGTCCTATTACAAATTTATAAAATATAATTACATGTACGTCTGCGCTCATCAACCGTGCATAATCACTATCGAGGCAGAAAAATAGTTTATTATTTTTACCGTGTAATGTTTTTACTACACGCCGTGTGGTGTCTGATTCGATTTTCTGTTTTTCATGAACCATCTGTAAATATCAACCGAAAGACGTGTCCATTCCCTCTATTAATGTGTTTAGTATGCCTGGACCATACTTTACAACTCGGTTGGAAACCCTATTGTGTTACGAACCGTGTCATGTTTAAAAGTCATATTTATAATAGCATGTATATTGTCTACTTTATTACTCAGTGCCACGAGGCAGTATTTTACTAATCGGCATCATGGCAACTTCTTCGTAACCACACGAAACAATACTTCATAGCATATGTTCCCTAACGTCATTTATATTCAGCCTTCGGAACAGAGTAACACCGAATGGCCTAATGGCTTTAATATGTTAAGTCATTTGATTATTATGTCGTCATACAATAGAGCTACAATGGGAATTGACTCGTGAAGATCCGGAGTAGAATAGGTCTTCAGCAACCCAGTCGTAAAAGGCGACTAACGGGATCGAGTGGTCAGGCTCGCTGACTTGGTTGATGCATGCCATCGTATCCCAATTGCGTGGATCGATGCTCATGATGTCAATCACTGGATTCTCTGGGCCAGAATCGATTATTTACAGACCGCCGTCATATGGCTGGAATATTGCTGAGTGCGGCGTTAAACAACAAACAAACAAACAATGGTAAGTGTTTTATGTCCTTATCAAACACCTGATAAATCCACAGTTATGATAGTATTTCACTACAGCTCTACAGCTTGTATCTGAGATATAATATCTTAATCCTGTATCGTGACTTTCTTTTATTTGCAATATCAACCGCATATTATAACATAGCAACGATATCCAGGTTGACATATTTTATGTTTTACTCACCTTTCGTTTGGACTTCAGCTGTTGAGCATCCCTCATTTCGTCAGTGTGTCCTGGCAAATGGCGTCTCCATAAAATTCTCCCAACCATAGAATACGTAACTGTTAATATTGTTAACGGAAGGAAATACGTAAGAAACATTATAAACAAGGTGTAGGATTTCATCCACGCTTCTTTCGGGTCTGGCCACTCCTCCTTACAATGCGTAGAGCCGTCCGTATCTTCATATGTTCGTCCAACAATAATTTGAACAATGTTTAAGGCAATGGCTATGAACCATATTAAAATTATCACATATTTGGATCTTGATGTCGTCAGTCGCTTCTTCAGAGGGTATGTAATAGCGAAGAAGCGATCTACTCCAACCGCCATGTTCGTGGACACGCTAGCAGTTACTGCCATCTGTTGAAGGAAGGACACAATGGGGCACATGGGAGCAGAAAATATCCATTTTTCCAAAATTTGATACGTAAATGTGAATGGAATACATATGATGGCCATGATCAGGTCGGCAACAGCCAGGTTTATCAAGAATGGTCTCAGTTCTGTTCGAGATCGATGTCCTTTCACGAAGATGACGATGGCTAGCGTATTGCCTATTACAGCAGCTACACTTGTGATGGTATATAGCATGATCAGCGTGACTCGAGATCCCATATCAAGTGTCATATCAACAGTAGAATTCATTGCAACCGTAGTCAAACCCAAGTTGCTTGTGCCGTTATAAAATAAACCTATGGTTGTATTCAAAGATATTGCTGTTGATGAAGCCATTCTGTGAACATCTGGAGGATTTGGCTGGGCTGTATGTCCTGGGTCCATATGTGCTGGTTCTGATTTAAAGTATGTCGACAAATTCATAATTCTTTGCAATCCTAGATCAACTCATTCCAATCGATGTAAGGTCCGTTTCCTCTGATCCAGTCTGCAAAGATAAGGGATAAAGTTATCAGCAGGGACCACTTAACGGATCAAAAGATTACCACTATCAATACTGGCATGGCTGAACCAAACTCTAGGTATTCGTCTTTCTCAAACCACATTAATAATCACATCATAAAGATGACGGTTTTTTGCGTCAAAGGGCATTTATTCAACACTTTTTCGTTTCCAACTAACATCTTACAAATGTTATTTATACTTATTTATAACTCTTTATCAAATAAATCGACACTCTAACCTGCGTCATATCGGATTTTCATTGGGTACTCTTCTTATTATCAATATTTATTACAACCAATGACATTATCACCTTTATTGATATTATTCCCCAATTGTCCCTCCCGATTATATCGCATTAATGTGATTTAATTCTCGTATTCAAGCGTTTGTGTATCACAAAAGCAACATTCGGGGCTGTTTTTCGTCGTACAAAAGGGATGGCACACATGTTCCCAGGGTCATTACGAAATATATGATTGCGCGTATCGCCAACACCTGGTTTCATCTCTGTAATTAAGGTTACTAATGCTACATTGATTGCCAGTAAAGCTTTCAGGGTTTGTTTTTGTCTGGATGCATTTGTGAAGCAGCCTGTTCAGGTATTTTTGACATATTTATTTATAGATATTGACCTCAATATTATTTTGCATATTTGAAAATAATAACATCTGTGCATGCGCTAATTTACGCAGTGTGTACACCTCATGTTACATTTATACATAAACAACACTGAAATATATTCTTATTTACGCAAGTAGACGTTCTCGCAGTAATCATCCGATAGGCTGGGTCAGGAGCAGGCAATCCAGGGATTGACATCATGCGCATCCATCTACCTAACTAGTATACGATGTCAACCAAATCAGTGACCATGACCAACCGATCTCCTTAGTCCAGTCTTACGCTTAAGCATGGGATGCTGAAGACCAATTCGAACCCGGATCTTCACGCGAGGAGCCTTGTGAAGAGATACGGACCAGAATAAAGCTTTTGGTGAAAACATAATTTGAGATGTGTTGGAAAACACTTACTAAAATCATACTATTTTTAGTTTAGTCACAATCATGAGTTCGAACATATGAAAGGTATTTTTGGCGTCTGTTTGGCTTGCCAAAGCTTGGCACCTCGTTTCTTGTTGCTTTGTATCAGTTTACGTTAAGTTTGTTATCAATTAATTGACCTCTTGTACACAATAGAAATATTTACATACATACATATTTACTGACACAAAAATGAAAGTTGAAATGATGATATTATTAATCAACAATGGTAGCTAAAAGGTGAACAGCCAACTTTATTGTTTTGTCCTAGACTCGGTGGTTGTGTTGTGATAACAGGTTCGTCTACTCTTACCCTAGTCCTGCACCATGACCGTGGAATATGTCTATTTTATGAAACAAATAATCTAGAAACGCATACAAAAGCAAGTCTAGCCCTCTGAAATCAGCATAGGGAATTTTTATATATTTTTAGAGTCAAGAAGGATATTGTGTAATATAAGATTTCAGAGACTAAATGTTAGTCTACTGTTACCCTCCCACGAGTATTTATTACTTTGCACTCTACGTACTTTTAGGCATAGGCTACTCATTCAGAAACAAAACCACTCGAGTCTGATAATACTTAAGGTTCATGCAACTAATCAGCCGTCGAGAGATACAGCCATGCCGTGGCTCTGCCCAGCGCTTCAGCACATTCTTGACGTGTAAACCAATATCCGTCCAGTCATGTAAATAAACGCCCACTAATATCAGTGCTGAGGAACGGGAGATTCGAACTCAGTTCTAAGTAGCCGCGAGGCATCAATCATTCCCTTTTATTGTCAAGTTAATTCACTTAGTGATGGAGCAAAACGTCGATAGGCGCAGGCTACAACAATAGATAGGGTTTGATCTAATCTAACATTTGTTTGCCACATTATTTTCAATAGCCTCTTTGTAACGCTCAATATGTCAGGCTTGTAGGTTGTAGCTAATTTTCTGGTCTCAAGATGCCACTGGCGGCAATTTATTATTCAATTGTACAATCAGAGGCGTTGTTGTCGCGGTCCATGCAGTCAAGAGATGATGATGAGAGAAGGGTTCCATGTTCGGTAAAGAGTTTCAATAAGGTTCAAGATGACACAACGTGACACTGAGACAAATACATCTCAAACACTGAATCTGTATAACATTGGGATACTCACAGGACATGCGTCTGTGGTGTTTCTCAGACTAATGCAAATACAACATCTTATTTTGACCATTTATGTTGAATCAAGCCAACGCCAGTGACGTGATAGACGTCAACTGTAAGTGGCTCCTTGAATAGAAGAGCCCTAGTTGCAATTCCCTATCACGACAAATTAATTTCCTCTTGCAAACAGAAAAGGGTCAGAATGTGTTGGAGATGAAATCCTCTGATTGAGTCGCTAACTCAATTTTTGATCCATTGATTTTCGTTTAATGGCACCAGGAACTCTGTAAGTGACCCGTTAGACATTGGAGGAGCATGATATATATGAACTCTAACATGATTGAAAAGGTTTGAAGATGAAAATGCTGACTTTGATAGTAATGGATTATCAGTAAGAGTGAAACTGTCATTTGATTTGAGTTAAACTTAAACTTGAGAGTAGATGAGTACTTCTCTTATCCATGTTAATGATATTAACGTCGCTCGTGTTAGTGGTTTAAGACAATATATTTGTATCAAGGACTATTCATTTGTGTAACAAAAGTAGAGAGTTGTTCATGCATGATACATGTATATACAAAGCATAAACAGAAATATCATGATCATATTTTTTTCTGATGGAAACTACAAAGTTTGGATAGAACTTGATCATTTATTGAAAGCGAACCAAACTGGAACAAACATTACTATTAAAACAAATACATGACATTGTCAAGATTTATTAAGCTATTACTACACAGATGAAAAGATACGTGTCTAAAACAATGAAATCATTGTACGTCATATCATGCTTAACTAATTGTTAATGTATATATTGACAACATTAAACAATGAGACCACCTGGTTATCAACCAGCTGTTGAAATTATTGCAGCCACAACAGATAATACATAAGAGAATAATTTACTCAATCAGTACACAATTGTTACTTGCAAATGATCCAATCAAAGTAGTAATTCAAAATATGAGGATGTCTCAGCCATCAGCAGGACACTTCCAGTGTATTAGAAAACAATTTGACAACTTAGATGAGATGCTCTCTGATAATCACAACTCCATTCTTCGCACGTCTAGAACTTTTTATCAAGTGATAAAATTTGAACTTTGTCAAATCCATAATCATTATGTGAAATAACCCTTGACACATATGCAGTTGAAGTTGATTTGTTCTCGTTAGCGTCGTACTGGAAACGTTTTTCTCATCATCTGGATTTTCTGAAGGAAACAGTCTCCACGTATTATTGATGGTTCTTATTTGAATCTCACACGTTCTATTTCAGCATAGTTACTTCCTGATGAGTACTCATCACGCTATCATCAAATCTGTCTGTCGAGAAAATACACGACCAACGCGGGGTCTAATGATGTCTTCATCAATTGGAAAATGACAGAGCCTTTGTAAACATCCCATGCAAATGTGGGAGTTATAGGGTGTAGTTGCGCAGGTGCTGCACGGGACATACATTGCAGTTGGCCATGCTTACCCATTGTCAATAAATGTATAACATGACATGGTAAACATTCCTTACTGTCAGATATACATGGATATATACACCATGTTTATATATAAGCCACAGTAAAGGAATAATGATTTACAACGTAGGCAGCAAAATTACACTTGTATCGTGGCGAACCTGTCCTTAATCGAATAATTACCAGGAAACCCAGTAGCTGTTAGCATGATGGAGAACGATACATGCGCGGAATGATGATACCACACAATTACTTGACATAAACGTTTCGTCTTGTAAAATCGATTAAGCACATAAGCTTTGGATGAATTATTGGAATTTTGAACGTAACTTTAGAAATAACCTTTGATATTGTCTTACCTGCCTATTTTATTTAAATCACTAAATAATTTACGATTATTCCCAGTGGATACTAAATATGAAATGATTGCATGTTCAGGTATAAAACATGGGTTGACATGATCCAGTGATCAATGTGTGTGTAAATCACTGTCGTGGGACATGTGTTTCAATGTAAACTACTTTGTATACTGAAACTACGAACCACTTCAAAGATGTTTCTAATTGTATATGAAAACACTTTATATATGGCATGATAATAGATCTACCTGCATAAACTGTTCACACATGTTTGTGTGCTTCGGATCGAATTAATTAAGGTTCAAGAAGAGATACGAGTATGGATGGATTTAGTCGATGTAATCATTGTTTAACGTTACAGCATTTTTGGATATACCACGAAGTGTTGAGAATTCCGCGTGTGGACGCGGAAATTATTAAATTTCCACATGTTTTACATTTGGAGTAGGTCACTGCTAGCAATGGTATATACGATCAGCTCCTGCCAGTGCTACTGTCTGACGTAAGGTTGTACCAGGCATTCGTCGCCAACGTGAGGAAAATCGATCGGTACCTCCACACACACCCACACACCCCACACAACACACATACACACACACACACACCCAACCCCCACGCCCCACCCCCACCACAACCCTTTTAGTGATATTAAAATAGACACTCTTTAACAGCTGCACAGACATCCACGATACATCTTGTATTCATATATCAGAACGTTATTAAGTTCATTTTCATGATTATACGCCAATGCTAAATAATTTCTTCATGTGACGGAACATAACACGTACCTATACATACACACACAAACACACACGAACACACACACACACACACACACACACACACACACACACACACACACACACACACACACACACACACACACAAAACACACGTACGCATGCATGCATGCTTACATACATGCTAAATATATCTTGCTATGAATTCATACCATGAATAAGGTAAAGGTTTTGTCG